CATGCAACATCCCCTTCCATTTCGACCTTTTATACATGCTAGATGTATTACAATTTTGACTTCAATTCAAATTTCACTTATCCCATTTCCTATTATTAAGTAGTGATGTATGAACCACCAGAACCTAAAACCCAACTTGAAACAACAAGGTATTAGGTAGTGCGCACAGTGGAGGAAGCAGTTCATTTCCTAAGAGAAGGAAAAGGCAAATCATACCAACAGATGGGAAAAAGTATACCATTATTATATGTCTTATTTTGATTAGGGGAACTGATGAGTACGGAGGATGAAGCACCTGCCCAAGATCCCACTGCATGGTCCTGTAGCAGTTGCAGGGAATTTAACCCAGAGTTAAAAACTAGCCCATAACATTAGCTCCCAGGCTACTCTAATGGACTAGCACACAAATACAAGTCCCAGTTACCCACAAGGTATGTGCACAACTTCCAAAAACCAAAATGCCAAGCCTGGTGTGTTCAACTATGCATCAGTGTAATTTCTTGGTATCTACACATTTCGCATCCTCATGGACTTGAAATACAGTTAAATGCTCTTACTGACAATCTTGCTTCTAGAACACTGAGAACATCAAAGCTAGTCAAAAGAAAGATTCTAAGAGGAATGAATTAATAAGAGGTGGAGGGAAAAAAAAAAGAATCCAAAGTGTGAGCCTTCCCCTATCCTCTCCCAAACACATGAAAAACATTTGACACTTCAGTACAAAACAGACTTTAAAAAAGATAAAAAGGATAAAATGAGTTTGTTTTTCCTGTTACCAGCACTTCCCAAACTCTATGAGACAATTTGTTGCTTCTTACCCCATCCCAAGGAAATGTGTTCTGCATGTGATTGAAAAAATGACATCATATGCCACAAGTCAGTGTCTAGCTCTCTTCAATGACTTCATGTACTCCAGCTGCAGTCTTCTCTTTTCCCTTGCGCAACTCCTTGCTTTTTCTACACTCCCACTCTCTTCCTCTGCTCATTTTCTTCTACTTTCCTCCCTCAATTTGTGCTCTCCTGCACTATTGTCTGTATTCTTGTCTTCACCCATCCCAGTCTTTGTTTTCAACCTCCAGCTCTTTCTTTCCCATTTTATGCTTTCTTCTTAAAAAAAAAAAAAAAAATTAAAAAATCGATTTTCCTTTTTCTGCAGTCCAGCTGTTGAATTGGCTAATATCCTTAATACCCTTCTTCACTGACACAACTGCGTAGTGCAACTCTCAGACTAAAATCAGAATAAGCAATAGAATTCTGCACCCCTAGCCTAGGTAAATACAAAACTCAGCTGCTGGGGTAAATCCTAGCAAGTCACCTCCATACTATTTATTTTTTGTAAGAGAATGAAAATTAAAATTATGACATACCTTTATAAATCACTTCTGTACTTGAAAACCTGTAAGCAACTTGTTTTATTGTTGGAAACTTAATTACTGAAGTAAATTGACAGTAGTGAGACCCTCTAGAGGTCTCCAAAGTTAAGTCAGACTGCATCCTTCTTCACTCCCTTCTCACCCCTCATCTTCCTCATACAAAAAAGGAGATTTTTCAGACTTGGAGATCTCAACTGCTGTTACTCCACACTGCCAGTGAGGAGCTATTTTACAGCAGGGTTCAAAAAAAAAAAATCAATGCAACTTGGAATAAGACATACACATCAACATAGGACAGCCAGAGAAGACAAAAACCATGCCTACGCATCAACTGCAGCTGCTGTGCACAGGCAGAGCTTTAAAACTCTGCAAAATCTCCTCCTCTGGGGGCCACGCAATCCACAGACAATGGTGACAAAGGGCTCCAGGTTCAGTTCAACTCGCAGGATTTAGTCCTGCATGCAGGGTTCTTCTTTGCTTTGGCACTACACACAGATCTTTAAACTTACCTCCTCTGAACACGCAGAGGATGCCTCCTCCTGCCTAGGAGTATCACACTCCTCACACAAATAGCTATAGGAACGTCTTAGGCCAGGTAATTTTTGGTAACAGTTCTAAACATGTATTAGACCAAGGATCATATAACTTGACGGTACTTTTTGCATCACTATGTTTATGGCGATTAAGGCATTTATTTTCAATGGTTGAAACTGAATTACTGGGTTTTGGGGACATCTCATCATTAAGATCCATGCAGTAGACTGTTACGCAACATCACTTTTTAACAATGCCCTTTCAGGGCTTCACTTGGTCGTATGCGACAGCAACAAATCAAATACGTCAAACCTCTGCTATTCCACTGATATCACTGCTGCATTTAGTAAACATATGACAGGAAACAGGCTGTGTCTAAAATTGCTGTGGCATTTCCAAAGGAGCCAAATTTATCCCGTGTGACTTCAATGAAAATGCAGTTGCACCAGGAACGAGCGTGGCCCACAGTTTTCACTTTGGTCACATACCTCCTCTCATTGTGAAGGGCACCCAGGAACAAAGATAAAAATAACCTAATACAAATTAGGGAAACGGTCACATATCAGTGAAGAAGGAAGCAGTAATTGTGATCTGTGACTCATTCTAGGGCACCAGGTGTAGGGGATCCCCTACATAGTAACATACAGGGTCCGCCACATAACCTCTTCCTGCAGATTCACACTGTGCATAAGACAAGCCTTTCACATTCATTAGTAACACTGGATTAAACACACAACTGCATAGCAATGCAGCCAACAGTTTCTCTTGCGCAGTACGCAGTCTTGTCACACATAAGTAACACTTTTTGACTTAAAAAAAAAAGTCAAATATAGTTTGCCCTGTTGCTGCACTTTCAAGAAGTGGTGTGTGCATGCATAACGCTTCTTAACATTGACCTAAAACACCGTCAGGGGACTGAACGGCAGAGAACAGCTACTATTTGTGGCAATGACCAGCCTTCATTTCAGTGTAATTATTTTTCAGGCTGTCCATTTTGACCTTGATAGCCACCCATATGCAGCTGTGTTACTGAATCTGTTTCTCTTTATGCACACTTTAGGTGGGTGACAGCACCATGGAGGATTAACAAGCAAGGTATGTGTTTATTAGTTAAAGCCATGCACTTGTAAAGCCAAACTTGTTGAAATACAGACACAGAATTTACTTCCTTTGCTTACAAGAAAACTTCTCCCACAGGCAGGCTTGGTAGGTAAAACAACACACAGGTGTTTCAAAAATTTCCAAAACTGTATAAGCTTTTAAATGAAGAAAACCAAGTTACTCTATTTTAACCTTTCCTCATCCCTTCTCTACAAACATTTTCTAGCTGTAAAAGGTATACATTTTAACTTACGCTACCTTCCTTTTTTTAAGATCCTTTTGTATCACCTGTCTAGTCATGTATGTCCAAACAGTTAATGCTGACTCAACGCAACTGAGCCTTCTGACCTACCGCCTGCTCTCTCGGCAACATCCCTCACGCTTTCCTAAGGGAAGAATATCTTTTTTTCCCCCCCTCCCAGAGAGATCTCACCATCCCCCCTTCACCTGTGTTGGCCTTGCATCTGTGATGCCCAACCAGCTAATACTGCTTTTTGCAGAAGCGCTTCAAAGCCCCTTGAGTGATGCAGGTGAAACACATGCAGCGACACAGCAGTGCAGGTGCCAGCATGTGTGCAGTTAAATCTAAAGCCGTACACGGAAATGGACTTAGTGTGCGTATATGCAGGTAAAAACTCATGCTGTTCCAATCCGAGGGCCCCAAGAAAAACAGCAGCCACGAAGAAGACAGATATCTTGCTGTAGCAGGTCGCACACGGCCCAAAGACCACAGGTTGCACGCACCCTGCATTAAAAAAAATGACTTTAACAAGTTGCGAAGAAGTCATCTGCAGGAAATACTGTTCTCTGTGCAGTGTCTGTTGCACAAGCTGGTTACGCAAACTTTTCTGTATTGGTGTAAATCCATTAGTGGTTCATCTACTGTGCCTTGTCTAGAAGGGGATAAACAGCCTAACGCACCCCAGCCTGTATTGGGCTGGGAGAACGAATGCGCCTTCAGCCAGGTCACTTGAGAATTCCTGTGCATGTCTTGCTTTTACTGCACTTGGGGCAGGCAGACAGTTATCAGCAAAGGGCTAAGCAGAATATACTTGGCAAGCAGTTTAACTGCTTAAATAGATGAAAACAGGTACAGCATAAAGTCAAACAAAGCTGAAAAATTATAGTCACTATAAAAGTAAGTTATATACATGCTTTGTTTTATTCCTCATAGTGGTTCTCTGCCTTTGCACCTACATTTTTAACACAGTTCTACATGTATTTTTTTTTTAAAAAAGTCTTTAGTCCTTACTCTGTTTTGTCTGTTGAGAAATATATTACTAAAATTCCCTATAACAGTGATACATCAGCTTTTAATTACACACCATAAAGAATTTTTACTTGGAATGGAAATGCTTCAACAAGATTCCTTTTCCTGCCTTCCAGAATAAGGTAATGGTAAATCAGATTATCTGCCTGGGTCAGTAACAAGCAGCAGCAATATCCAGATCTCATGGCTGAAAGGTCTGTGATTCTAGTCATATCGTCAGGCTTTCACGTGTGCTTAAACAAATGAAGGGGGGTTAGGGGGTGGAAATCAGCCATGACCTTTTCCCAGACTGTAAAGGATAGAGAGATTAGGATCTAAAGCAATGATGGGGGTAAAACCCACACATCCACAATTTCCATTTTACAATTCCTCACCACTGCTAAGAAGCAGGTGCTTGGTAGCCTTCAGGAGGAGAAGCACAATACAGCACAAACCTAAACTTGAAAAACAAAATTTTAAAAATCCTGTTTTAAAGTAAAGACACTGTAAAGGCAATCTATTTACTTCAGGCTTTTTAGAACTTTAAAACAATCACCGTTTGCACTCATCAAAACACTTTACTTCTGCATTTCTAACTCTTCACTTTCCTGCTTTCCCAGCTCCACAAAGGCTGTCTAAAACCAAAAGAGAAGATAATAGGCTCTTTGCACTGTTCCTGACAACTTCTCTTCTTTCCTGCACTCCTAAAACCTCTGATTTGTGCCCTCTGCTTTCTTGTTGCCATGGAGAAGGTCCAATACATAACCCGCTCTGCTCTGAGGAGAGCCTCAACTATTGAGGTCAACCCACAAGCACGCCAAAGGCTCCAAGAGCTGTTTGTGAATTTCTGCCTGATTTTAATTTGCCTCTTGCTGATCTGTATCATTGTGATGCTCCTCTGAAGTTCCAGCACTTCTCTGCACTGTCCTCTAGGAAAGTGACCCCAGAGGGAAGAGACACCTACACCTGCAACTCCCAATGCAAGGATCCTCTCGCGAGAGGGGCTAGCACTTGGACTAGAGCTGTATGCCAACCATCGCACTATTCTCTTACTACCTGCTACATGTATTAAAAACACACTTCTTCTGTGCAGAACGGTGTTTAGAGCCTGTTGTAAAGCTGTGCATGACCTAATCTGTCTGTCTCAGTCAAGAGATGTCTTTTCTGAATGGGGTAAAGTACTGGCTCTTCATGGAGTTGGTAAGTTCCTCAGTGTTTTAGCTAGATCACACAAACAGCAACATCGCTTTTTGGGGGCCTGATTGTTTTTAGGTTTCTCTGAAAATCCTTAAGCCCTTGGAGGGGTTCCAAATCTGGCCTGCATCTGCCCAAAGAAGAGCTACTGGCACAGAGCCCTCAATACATCCTAGGAAAATTTCTGCTCTGCTTACTTCTAGGTGCTGCATCTCTGCATTATCAACTGAAGGCATTCAGATCCTTTTAGTGGGTTTTAAGGGAATATGGGAATAAACCAAAAGTCTCTTATAGCCCAGAAATAAAAACTATTTCTTTTCTCCTCATATAAGGGATCTTACATACATATATATATATATACACACAGCTCAGATCAGGGCGGGGCGGGGGGGGAGAAAAAAACAAAAGCAACCTCATTTAAAGTATTTTTCACTAGATACATCCTTAGAGAACTAAATGACATCTGGAAAGTTTTTTCACTATGTTGCAGAAAAAAGAATGACACTACCACACTGGTATCAAAGATAGAATTTTCTACACTCTTTAACTGACATGACAATTGGCACAATTCAGAAATAACTCTCGAGTTCTTAATATTTGGCTTCAGACAGCTTTATTATGGCCTGCTATAATTTATGTAATAATTTCCTGAGTTTAAAACTACAGAAAACTTGGTACTTGCCAATGTCACACAAGGTGGCTTGTATCTGTGGTGGTAAAGAAAAAGGTCTAGGTCACCCTTACTGCTGTGATTTAAGTGTATCATAGAAGTACAAATAACATCACCACCTTCAACTGCAACTGCCTGTTAAGAGAATGAGCAAGTATTTTCCTAAAAGAAACGATACATTAAAAAAAAAATTTATAAACAATTATGCACAGGAGGGAAAGCATTGCAGATATATCTTTTCAACATGTAAACCACAGTCTATACACATAAAAGATGAAGTTTCTAGTCCAGCAGTTCTCAGTAACAGGACTGAGCAGTGTTGCTGGTATTAAGCTAAATTCCTAGAAACTTTATACAGTTTTCAAATTTAAAGAAAGCTCAAGAATCAGTAGACAGAGGTCAAACAGACATCCTTTTTTTTTTTTAAACAGGCATCTTTCTATACCACTCTATGTCAGCACTCCTATTGATGAATACAGAAAATCAAAACAAGTTTATCTTAATCTTGTATTCTGCCTTTAAGACTTAATACTCCACGAGCAGACGTTGACAATGAACAGTTGAGCAGGAAGGGAAGAAATCTTTGAAAAAACTCTGTATTCAATGGAATGCAAGCAAGTCCAGTGGCAATGCACTGCCTATCTGGCAAATAGATATGCTAAGACCAGACCTCTTGAGATAAGGTTAATCACTAAAGGGAATTAGTTAGCTACTGTATGAGGATTAGGGCAAGCACTGATGAGATCAGCAACACACACCCCCACCTGCAAGTTAGTATATGAGCATTACCGATTTGAACTGTCAATGTAAATCTCAATTTCCATTTCATGCATTCTGACCACTCTCACAAATGCATGAGATTTTATTAAGCATACTTTCTTTCCCCATTAATCCTTCTTCTTAAGAAAAGCCACAAACACAGTGCACTTCAGGGGCGGCGGGGGGGGAACAGAAAAATCTAAAGTTGCTTTCTTCTCTTTTTAAAACTCTATTTTTGTGATGGATAGGGTTTCCAGTTTTAGTTTGCTTTGGAGGTGTTTCAAGAGACTTGAATTGGAAGTAGACAACAGTTTTACAGTACTGTAAACTTCCTGAAGAAAAAAAGGTGTCAAGAGCAAAGTATCAACACACGCTTTGTGAGGACACATTGGGATTGTAGATTTCACAAGCCAGTAATATACAGAAATCCAAGTAAAGTATTGCTAAAAAAAATAAAACCCCCACCCCTCCTCATAAAAAACAAACGCACTACTTTCTTCTTATGTACCTGAAAAGCCATTATTTATTTAAAAAACAATAAACAAGAACAAAAACAAAGTATAAATAAACTGGAAGGCCTACTGTTATTTTAAAGCAATGCAGATAAATTGCATGTACTGTATGGTTCATTTGTGTCTTGGGATTCTGCTGATCAGAAAATCTGCTACCATCCTCTATATAACTTAATGTCAACTGAACCCAGGGATTAAAAAAATAAAACCCTTTGTACATAGTACAATCTTTTTTTGTATACTTATATGGGCTTTAACACTAACAGCTACTGTATTTTTATTTATTAAAATGACTGCTTGAAAAAAATATTAATGCATAAAATAAGATATTTACATACATTTCTGTTTAGAAAGAAGCATCCATTCTATCCTCTACTTATTAAAGTTATGTGAAAAAGAGCTAGTCATCACACAGCTTTCTAATTCTTTATACCGCTATTTATTCTGTTTTGGTTTTCAACAGTAATCTTGCCTATTTTGTGATGTCCAGATCACTTTACACATACTTAATTTACACTCACTAACTAGTATACATATGTGATCCTAACGAATTTCTGAAAGTGTAGTCAAAAAGTTGACTACTTTTATGAGCTGTAATAAAAATTTCAAAACACAGCATGTAGCTTGGATTAAGTTTTCAATTCTCTGGTCCGCTCCACCCAAGGCTATGTCTTTTTACTAAGTTCATCTTACACACTGATGGTGAACAAAGACAGCTAAACAGGCTATTACTCTTCCTCCAAAAAACAAATTACAAACTTCCATAGCAATTTTACACTGGGAAATAGCTTAATCAGGAGCAAGAATATGCTGGTTTTAAACATGTGCCTCCTCAGCCAGCTCTTCAGCAAAAATTGATATATCTACCCATTTTTCTCTAGGTAAAGACATGACCCATTTCAGAATTGAAATTTTGCTCTGATCAAGACTAGTCAGTAAGGCACTTTAGAGGGCAGCAGGTACTTGCATTTCTTTATTAACTTTTCTGCATCAGTTTAGCAACAACTGCCCTTGCTAGCAAAACTGAACCACTTGGTGGAAAGACAACTGTAAAATAGGCTTAAAAAAAAAATCTTTCACAAAACATTTGCTCCCCGTAACAAGTAACTTTTATGTGAGTTTTGCTACAACTACAAACAGAACAATTATCGTGTCAGACACATGCACCCATGCTGAGATGTTCTTTACTTATATCCTCTCTGCTGAAATTAGAGCAGAGTATTCTTGTTCCTACCTGGAAGCATACTAATACACTATAGATTACTGACCAGATACCTGCATCTGTATGGTTATTAATAGTGTCTGTCAGAATACAATTAGAAAATATTTGTGAAGTCCTACAAGATCCATAGATATCTTTTATTTAACAATATAGTCCTTTTAGCTTCGACCTAGATGTTAAAAACTGGGGGGGGGTGGTAATAAATCCGTTTTGGTTATGGAAGGAGGTGAGTGAACACCTCTTGTTCATTGCAAGGATTAAAAACAGAACAACATATTTATAAGGATTCCTTTAAAAACTGATGCTCATGTCAGTAAGAACCCTGGTAATTTAAATTATTTAAAACAGGCCCTAGATTTATTGTAATATCTGACAGTTAGTTTAGTGGAACTGATTGCTTTATAAGCCCGTGGTTGTCTGGGGTTTGTTTTAAGATAAAAGTATGCCAAAAGTGTATTTTTGTATAAAATATAAAACTATAAAACACTGCCCTCTTGTGATCTTCCCTAAAAACTTAGCTGGTTATTAAAAGGAAGTTCTGGCAACATTCACTGGTAGGGCTGAGCGGTCCTATTTGTTTCTTTCATTTATATATATGTATATTTCTATATATAGAAACACAACTGCTAAGTTATTAATACTATCTTAAAATAAGCTATTGTGTATGTGCGGTTAAAAGCACTAAGGATGCATCCTCTGCCAGCCCAATCTAGATTCTTAATAAGGCATTTGCAAAGCTGCAATGAATCCTACGCAGCACACTGCTGGCAAAATGCTAACTACCGCACTGCACGATGCCAAACCCTAGAAGGGTAGGAAATACTCCTATTAACAGAGGTACAATTTGCCCAGATGAGAAAGTTTTCTTTTTGCATCTACAGAAATCTTCTAAAAGTAAATTTTCAACAGTCTACTGCTGGAACAGAACAAGTCTTGAGAGTGGCCATTCTTTTAAAAACCAAATGGGCCTGAAAAGTACCATACACATTAAAAAAAAAAACCAAAACAAACTAAAGAGCCAAACTGTATAAAATTCAAGTCCTTTCTCCATTAATTAGTTCTTCAGGAGTTCTTCAGTAGTAAAATGAAAGCTACCATTAACCTTTTTTTTTTTTTTTTAATTATTTTTAAGGTATTTGGAAAAAAAGGCTTGCAGGAGCATCCAGATTCCTTTTTT